CCCATAAAGAGAAAAATAATTCACAGGAAAATATTAGACTGGATGCTACTTTTTTTTTTTTAATCTTCTTGATGACTTTTTTGTTCATGTCTTTTTTCACTACTTTGTTTCCAGATCTGATTTGATATTGAATTTTTCCCTATTAATATTTGCCAAGTTTCCTCAAAGTATACATTTTCTTTCTTTTTCCCCCCCCTAAGTGAGATAATGCATATCTGTTATCCCACCTCTTGGGAGGCCAAGGCAGAAGACTCATGAATATGAGGCCAGCTAGGTCTACATAGCAAGAGTCTGTATTTTAAAAAATAACTACATGTGTGAAAAGGACTCTCTTCTTAGATAAGGCCCTAGGATCTTCCGTTAGGTTGGTTTTGGTCATCAGTCTCTAGACCTTTAAAACAACAACAATAAAAATAACAAGGCAGGTGGACAGATAAAGCATAGGAAAGACAACTATCTTCTCTGGTGCTTTCCCACAGCCTGATATTGCATGAGGAGATGACAAAACTTGATCTAACTCTCCAATTCTCTGTTATTATCAGTTTTTCTCTTCTTCTCCTCTTTTATCTTCTTCGTCCTCTTTTTTCCTCTTCCTCCCCTTCTCTTCTTCTTTCTTTTTAATGCCAATATGGGCACTTGAATTCAGGGCCTAGGGTCTGTCTCTTGGCTTTTTTCTGCTCAAACCAGTTCTGTAACACTTGAGCGTCAGATCCACTTCTGGCTTCTTCATGGTTAACTGGAGATAAAAGGCTTACAGATTTCCCTAACCGGGCTGGCTCTGAACTACAATACTCAGATCTTAACCTCCTGGATAGCTAAGATTACAGGCATGACCCACTGTTTGACTTATAGTCAACTTTTCTATTGCACACAGAAAGCTTCAGTTCCCCAACTTAAGGATTTTGTGATTTTTTTAAATCTATAATAATCTCCGATTTTGTTCCTCATCTCAGCACTTGTTTAAATATATGTCTGAAAATGAAAGAATAAAATCCCCCACCCTCCTACACACTATTCCTTTCCTTCAGCACATGGTTGGAGTCGCATGAATTTAGCTGCTCCTGCCCCATACCCTGGGCCTTGTGAGCCTGGGTCTGGAGAGATGCTTGGGAGGGAGGAGTAGGCAGGCATCAGTCAAAGCACTTCTAGTGTCCTGATTTCTCTCCTTTGCCCAACAGATATCCCTGAGCAGACACCCACCTACTCATAGTTATGCATGCAGCCATGCAACCACACCTCCCATGGAAAGTGAATTCTGAGAGAATACATTCTGTAACATTCTCTGGATACATTAATGTATCCAAAGTACTGTTTCAAGAGGAAATGAACACAAAACATTATGAGATACATTTTACTTCTAAAACATTCTAAGTCTTTAAAGTGTAGTATGTGTTCTGGGCATCTCAACTGGGCATTCCGTAATCACACAAAGCCAGTGGCTACCATGTTGAACAGCACAGATGTAAGGTAGAGCTGTCACAGCTATGTGAAGACATGTAATTCTAAGTGAAGTTAAGAGTAGCCAAAAGAGCTAATTCAAAACAATGTTTCATATCTTATACTCGAAACAACCCCATGCTTCTCTCAATAGCAATTTCTCAATTTCTCCATCTACTCCTTTCCTATATCCAGGCATTACTTTTTTCCAATGCAAGACAGTAAACATAGGCTGGCAATTAGATGTGGTCAGCAACTAGTTGAAAAGAAAAGTCTTATTGAAATATAATTGGTTTTTAAATAAAAATATACAAAAAAGAAAAACCAAGCAAGAGTACAAGGTCCTGCGTTCAAGCCCCAGTACCAGCACCAAAAAGATAAATAAAAACAATATTTAATTAAATTAGTAAAAATATAAATAAATTAGTAAATGAACATGTGACTTAGTCATACATGCCTCTGTTTACCTCACCACCCACCCATATCTCTTTCCTAGCCTGTCACATTCCTCCAGCCCGTTCTCTTTGCCTCTTTTTCTTTTCTTTGCACCACTGATTTCCTAAGATATTTCTTTCATATTCTTCCCTCTTCTGAAAAAGGCTTTTTCTTTTTCTACTGCCACACTCAGCTGACTCCTCACACCACCAGAGGTTAAACAGTCTCTCACTGAACATGGAAAGAGTCCAGTGTAATCACGCTGTGGATAAAGAGGAGATCACACAGGATCAGGTCGCATGGAGACCTCAGTGTTGACATTGCTATGATGCGGCCTACCACCAGGTGTCCAAGGCCAAAGACAGCAGCTCACCAGGCAGCCTGGGCAGGGAGCAGCTCACCAAACCAGCAGCTCTCATGGACCCAGCGCCAGCTCCCACTGGGTTATGCAGACAGATATGGCAGAAGATCCAGGACCTCAGCCTCATGGCCAGTAAGAGTACTTACTCATCCAGGGTTTTATTGTGTGTCCATGACAGGCTATGCAGTATCTAATCAGCCCCAGAGAGAGGCAGGGAACACATGGAAAAGGTTCTCATTCTCTAGGAGCTGACATTCTAGTGGAGGGAAATTGATAATAAGTAAACAGATCATTTCAGATGTGAGTTGTGCTGTGACAAAAGCTAATGGGAGAGATGTATGGGAGAGGGACTGGGGAAAGGAGACTTAATGGTGTGAGTAATCGCCGCACCTGGCTCCCCAGGTAGGGACCACTGTGATACCTGAGGATCAAGTGTGGAGTAATCCAGGTAGGACCCAGTGTGGTGCACTTGGAGGATGAGCCAGAGGCAACCGAAGCTGCCATGTTACCAAGGAGAGAAGGGGGGTGGGGTAAGAGTGAGTGAGAGGAGGAAGACAGATCCTGGTGCATCATAGACTGCAAGGAAGAGTTGACTTTTGCTCTGACTACAAAGGTAGGTCATTTATTTTTAAATAGTGAAGGGCTGAAGACAACTTACATCTTAGAAACTGTCATCCTGATTGCTCTTTGGAAAGCATGTGAGGCAGAAGGAAGAGCAAGAGGCCAGCTGAAAGGCGAGAGATCTGGTACCTGACATGATGAATGCTCTGGCTCAGGTCACACAATAGAACATGTACTCTCTTCCCTCCTAATAAGTGGACACAGGTAGGACATCTCAGAATGCTACACCATTACTCTGCCTCGTAGTACTGACTGAGACACTATACCAAAGGAATCCGTAGGAGAGGGACTTAAAAAGGTGGAGGTTTGTTTCACTTTCAAACACAAAGGTAAGCAGCCCAGACAATGTTGAGAGGCCGGCTTGGGTAATACAAAGTAGGAGAATGCAGAACCCATCCTTAACATATGATTTTTCATCTCCAGGTCCTAAAGGTTTCTTTCCTCTGATTCTCATCTCCCATCCAATGGGAAAGTAGAAGAGGAAAAGGAGTCCACCCTCACCTTGCTTAGAGACACGGCCCAGAGTGGCACGCAGGTTCCATCCACTAAGAAGTGAGTCATATGTCTACACCAAACCACAAGGCAGGCTGGGAAATGTAGTCTCTAGCTGTCTTGTCAGGTGTCTTGAGAAAAAAAAATCAATTAATCTAATACTAAACGAGGGTAATAGTTACTGGAGACAACTAATGTTCTGTCACAATTTTAACATTATAGACTGCATTGTGCTCTTCTCCTAATTTATATGTTGAAGTCCCAATTCCCAGTCACTTAGGATGTGACTATGTTGGAAGTTAGGGCCTTTGAGGTAGTGATTGAGGGACCAGTGGCTCACACCTGTAATCCTACCTACCCAGGAGGCTGAAATCTGAGGATCATGGTTCAGAGCCAGGCACCAGCTTCCGTGGGAGTGAGGGCCCAGGCTCCTTTGCTACTATGCTCACAGCCCTTCCACTTGCCATTGGAAGAAACTACAGCACTTCCCCAGCATGGAGAACCTGCACTTACTGATCCTCTAACCACACTTTTGAATATAGCCTTCAGGAGACGGGTAATGGGGATTGTGGACTATTCCCTTTTGTGTTCTTTCACAAAATCCAGCCTGGTTGTGTCTGGTACCTCTGTTTGAAATGTGGGAGCATTTATTGGTTTCTGTCAACTTTGAGCATTAGCTAAACTTCTAAGGCAACCAGAATAATTCCATTCAATATCTAGTTCACATAATTTTGGCTCTGAGTTACCTTGGCAATCAGGTGTACTCATGTGTTTCACCACAACAGCCTAGGATTACAGCTACGTTTCCGTTTGTATTCAAGGTATTTGTATTGTATTAGAAGGTAGTTACATATTTGTGTAGTCAGGTCAAAACAACAATAATCTATTACACTGATGGGACAAAAGTGTCTTTGGGGTTTTTTTTTGTTTTGTTTTGGAGGGGAAGTTTTGAACTCAGGGCCTTGCATTTGCTAGGCAGGTACTCTACCACTTAGGTCATGCCCTCAGCCTTTTTTGCTTCAGGTAAGATTTTTTTTTTTAATTGAGTCTTACATTTTCTGACTAGGATTGGCTTCAGACTTTAAACCTCTTGAGTAGATAGGATCACAGGCATGCACCACTATGCCTGATTTATTGGCTGAGCTTTTGTTTGGGCTGGCCTGGAGCTATATTCTTCCTAAGCTCTACCTCTCTAGTTAGTGAGATTACAGGTGTAAAGCACTGTGACTGGTCAGAAAATGCTTTCTTAAATTCTTTGCCTGGTTTTTTTTTTAACCCCTAAACCTCCAAAGTTGGTCAGGATGATAAAGTTCACCTACAGGCCAATGAGGAGCCTTAGGAGCTCCCAGCACCAGTGTCTACAATTCTGAACTTGATCCTTCCCATGCTAATGAAAACACATAGACTCCTAGGAAAGAAGAGGGAGGTCTTCTCCCTGAAAAACTGAGCATTTACTCAAAAAAAAAGTGTGTGTGAACGTGAAAATATATTCTTTAGGCCAGAAGAGACTGAGCGGTCTCCAACTGGCAATGTGAGCACCATTGTCACCTCTCAGCCTAGTTCTGTGGCTCAGTTAAATCAAGGCTTTAATTAAGTCTTTTCCAAAGAAGCTTATGTTCATCAGATTTGTATTGCTGTAAGAAGACACCTTAGGTAAACAAGGGTAAAAGGTTTATTTTCATTCATGGTTTCAGCACAAATGTGTTTGCAGGCCATTGCTTTGGGTCTGTGGCAAGTGGGAGTATATGGCAAAGGAGGAGACTGGTCACCACATAGTGGTCAGGAGGCAGATAGAGAGAAAGTGAGAGAGAGAGAGAGAGAGAGAGAGAGAGAGAATATGAAAATGAGGGAGAGGCCTGAGACAAGATATTCCCTTCAAACACATGGCCTCAGTGATTTAGTTCTTTAACAAGCCCTCCCTTCTAAATAGCCCATTAAGCTGTGACTCCCCAATGAATTAATCATTGATAACACAGTCACTTTTAAATACTACCACTAACCTTGTCCCTTGTTACTTCAGCACATGAGCCTCTGAGGACATTTGTTCTCTAACTGATAACAGAAACACCTCTAGGTAATAATTGAAGGTCATGGTGCTCACAAGTCAAGGTGATGACAGTTTCTTAGGTTGAATTTCCCCAAAATTCTAAGTTTTCATGTCATTATTTTCATCAATGAGTGTTAATTCTATATTAAAAGCAGCTCTAATGTTTGCCCAGAAAAGTCCATGTTTGCTCTTCTCTGTGGGCCATTCCAGGTAAGTCCTCTGGGTCATGAGAGCCCGCAGTTTGTGATACTTGCTGGGGATGCTGTTCTGTGGGATGGGTTCCAGCAAGATCAGAATTAAATTATTAGACCCTTCATGGAAGAGATTGTGGTGGGCAAAGTAGAGTTCATAATGGCACCACTCACTCTGGACAAAGTTGGGAGACAAGACAAAGATGGACTTGTAACTCTTCTCAATGCAATTGATGATATTCTCCACGATGCTCTTGCCAGGAACAAAGTTTCTCTCATGGAGACAAATCTGTATATTTTCTTTTTCTAGACAAGGAACTAACTCATTCTTTACCCAGGCAGAATCCTGCTCACTGTACGATATGAAAGCATGATACTGGAAAGTTCCTTGGAGGTCCTCTATGGGAACATTCCTAGTCCTGAGTCTGGTCTGGGTCCACTGGCACAACATCCTGAGATACCACGGCAGATCCAAGTAGAGGCAGAGGAAGGTCACTGAAGCAGTCAACACCAGCATGCTGGCCCCAATAGTGACAATGAGCAGAGCTGTGTTACAGGATAATGGGGACATGTGGAAGTCCTTTAGTGGGGTCCCTTTAAGCCTTTCAGGATAGTCACACATATAGGAATCAGGCCAGCCCTCTAGCACTTCACTTGATACTTGACCTAGGTTTCTGACAAATTCTCTTAACTCACATGTACATTGAAATGGGTTGTTTCCTGCATCTATTGACCTAATCTTGTGGCAGCTCTGGAAGAAATCAGCTGATGGGTGGAACACTGAGTTGTGGTTAATGATGAGCACAGAGAGGCTGCTGAAGGGATCACATCCAGGAAGGTCAATTAAAAAATTAGAAGCGATGTTGAGTTCTTGCAAAGCTTCCAAATGGGTGACATCCTTGGGGATGTTTGTTATTCTATTATTGTGAAGATCAAGCACCTTGACCTTGGGAGGCAGACACCTGAAAACGGAGTCAGTGAGTACATTTGAAGACAGATTTAAGACCACTATACTCTCAACCCAAATGCAATCTTCTTCATACCTATGTGATTCCAACAAATTCCAGCTCACATCCAGTGTTTCGAGAGATGGCATATCCTTAGTCATGAGAGACACTTTGAAAAGACTTTTTAACCCATTCTTTTGCAAGATAAGTGTCTCCAATCTCACTAAATTGGAGCAATTTTGAAAAATACTATCTGTGAACACATTCTGGGTAAAGTTCAAAAACCGAAATGTGCTTGGTGCCTGAGGACAAAGCATATGGATAAAAGCTGTGTCTGATATGGTCAACATCATAATGTTCATCTCAGCAAACATGCTGTATAATGCTGTCTTTGTGAAAAGAAAAACCTTGTTTGTTACATGTTCTATTTTCAGTGCTTTCAACTTTGTTTCTGAATAAGTAAAACCTTCTTCATTAATGTTTTCAACTATAGTTAAATTGTATATATTGAGATATTCCACAGGTTTGGACCAAAGGAATTGAAAAATACTAACTAAACATTTCCAAGTTGTTTCCACATTGTTGAGGGTAATGTTTATTAAGGTTGGACCTCTAGTAAGTTCTAATAAAAATTTCATTAAAACATGGCAGTTTTCATTATTCAAGTTAATATTTGTCAGATGCAAGTATCCCAAAGTGTTAACTTGGATGTTTACTTGGATAGAGAACAAACTATTTGGTGGAAAGATGAAGTGAAGTGTTTTTGTGTTCAGAATTTGAAGATTCTCTGTCTCATCTTCCTTCACATAGTACTTTCCTAAATCCAGAAGAATGTAATTTAGATATATGTGAGCCACTGGTAGCAGATCAAACTGTTGGAACTTTGTAGCACTCAGCCCTAAGAAATCCAATTGTATTAACTTGGAAAATTCAAAACAGACAGGAAGGGCACTGAAGTCATTGAAGGAGAGGTCTAAATGCTTCAGGCTCACCACTGGATAGCAAGATATGTTTTGCAGGTGATTGTGAGATAAATCTAAGTACTCCAAGTGCCGGTTGAAGTTGAACACATTGAAATCAAGCCTCTGGATTCTATTATGGGAAAGTCTTAAAACTTTCAACCCTAACAAAGAGCTGAAGTCAGAGGTCTGAAGCTCAAAAAGGAAGTTCTGAGACATATCTAAGATTTGGACATGTGGTGATAAGTCTCTGGGAACATGAGTGAGGCCGGTTTTTGACAGGTCCACTGCAAATTCACTTTCCTCAGAGAACTGGATGAAGACTCCAACAATCAAGGTCATGAGATAAAGACAATAAGCTTGTCTGATGATAGGTTCTTTGTCTTGGGTCATGATGCAGTGGTTTCCCAAAAGAATGCCAATGTCCTTCAGAGCATTTTGAGTCCAAGTTCTAGAAATATAAAAAACATTACAATGAGTGCTTGCTTTCAAGCTTCCATTTAGTAAGGTCTCAATGATTTCTTCATTGTCAATGTCATTACTGTCCCATAATTGTATGTCATTTATTTCCTTGTTACATAGCAGCTGATCTTAAAAGGTACAATGCAGATCTTTTTTTTGGTTGGTCATGGGGCTTGAACTCTGGGCCTGGGCACTGTCCCTGAGCTCTTCAGCTTAAGGCTAGAGCTCTACCACTTGAGCCACAGCACCATATCCAGTTTTCATGGTTAACTGGAGATCAGAGTCTCATGGACTTTCATGCTTGGGCTGGCTTTGAACTGAGATCCTTAGCTCTCAGCCTCCTGAATCGCTAGGATTACAGGCGTGAGCCTCCAGCGCCCAGCTGGTAGCTTATGTATTTTGCTCTGTCTAGTGGTTTTCTGAGGGAGACTTATCTTAATTTATATATTTTAGAACTTTCTCAAAGCTGTTACAGCCTGAGAGGTGATGTTTATCTAAAAGATTTAAAGGTAAATGTACTAGGCTCAGCCACCCAGAGGAAGAGCTGACACAATGGTTAAGCAGAAGACACACCAACATGCCAAGGAAGAAAGAGACCAGGAATAAGGTCTCATGGAAGAAAAGGGCTTTGGAAAGCCTCATGTATAGCAGAGTCTAGACATCCACACACAGGCCCCCAGATGGACGCGTGCTCAAAGCAGGCATGGGAAAAGTCTAAACCTTTGGCCCTGGTTGAACAATTTAGGATCTATGCAAGCAGAATATGTAGATAAAGGTAGAGTTACAAACAGCTTGGAAGAAGTGTTCCAACATACAACCAATTTGTAAAGACTGGGAATTCGGGGATTTTAGTTGCTGTCTGATATCTTGCTTGGTTTTGTTTTTGCTTCAAATGTTAAAGAAATAGCAAACTACTAGCTGACTGCTGCGCTGTCATAATGAATTCAGCATCACAGATGATACATAGTCCTTATAAAAGTCTAGAAAAGTCACTACAATAAATAACTACAACCTGCAAGGAACAGCAACAACAAACCCAAAAGACAGGAACAAATCTGATTTCTATAGTTAGCGCATTATAATATTCAAAATACCTGATTTTTTAAAAACCTTATATAATAAAAATGAGAAAGCAGTTCCTTGTCACAGTCAGTGAAAAAATAATTAAAAGAACCAATTCAAGCCAGATGCCGTGGCTGACATACCTGTAATCCTAGCTACTCAGATCTGAGGATCAAGGTTTGAAGCCAGTCTGGGTGGAAAAGTCCATGAGACTCTTATCTCCAATTATCTACCAAAAGGCCTGAAGTAGAGCTGTGGCTCCAATGACAGAGTGCTAGTTGTGAACCGGGAACAGCATCCAAGCCCTGAATTCAATCCCCAGGACTAGAAAATACACACACAAAAACATAACAAAGTCAAAAAATTATACCATCCAACATCATGATTTACTCCAAAGATACAATAGTAAAAACAGTGTGATATTGGCAAAGGAATAGACACATAGATCAATGGGCCAGAATAGAGAGTTTAGAAATAAACCCACAAAAATATAGTCAGCTGACTTTTGACAAAGGAGTAAAGGCAACTGAACACAGAAAGTATCACCTGTTTACCAAACTGTGTTAGAGCAAGTAGACCCCTACCTGCTCAGAAGGAGGAGAGGGAAGAGGAAAAGGAGAAGACAAATTTAAATATAGACCTTACAATTTTCCCCAAAATTAGCTCAAAATGGATCACAGATGTAAGTGTAAGATGCAAAATTGTAAAACTTCTAGAAGATAACATAGGAGGAAATGAAGGGGATTTTGGGTCTAGTGGTAAGTTTTTGGTACCACATCAAAAATACAATCCAAAAGAGAAAAAACTGCTAAGTTATACTTCATTAAAATGTTCTGCTTTGTAAGCAATACTGCTAAGAGAGAGAAAAGATAAGCCACAAACTGGGAGGAAATAGTTACAAAACACATATCTGACTAAGGGCTTTGTGTTCAAAATATAGGGAGAACTCTCAAACTACACAATAAAAAAAATGAATACACAGCCAGGTACCAGTGATTCATACCTGTAATCCTGTCTACTCGGGAGGCTAAGACCAGGAGAATGGAGGTACAAAGTCTGCCTGGGAAAAAAAGATCTGTAAGACTCAATCTCCAATGAACCAGCAAAAAGCCAAGCTGGAGGCCTGACTCAAGTGGTAGAGTACTACTCACTATGAAGGGGGGAAAAAAGCAAGAGCTCAAGGCCTTGAATTCAAGCTCTAATACCATCAAATTAGATAGGTGATAGATATATAGGTGAAAGGTAGAATAAAAAAATAAAGGACTAAAACAAGGTCTTGCAAGTCTAAAGGGTAATTTGGTAATTAAGGCAATTCCTTTGGAATATGTCTCCTTTTATTTTAGTAATCCCATATTTAGGAATTTGCTAAAGAAATAATAAGAGGCACACAATACAGAAAAATGACTGTGAGGTTGCTTGTGATATGGTGAAAAACTGAAAAATATCAGAAATGTTTATTGTGGCATATGGTTAACTCAGTTCTGGTGCCTCTATGGGAAATAGTCTCAAATATTACACTTTGCAAAAATCTGCAGCATCATGTTCAGTGAATAAAACAACTGCCAAACTGTATATGTACAGCTCTAATTTTGTAAACTGTGATTTGAACCGGAAAGACTCAAAGCCAGGGGAGGGAGGAGAGTGTGGGGAAAAAAACACAAAAAAACAAGCATATGCTACCAGTAGCTATCTCAGAATCACAGATGAATTTCTCTCCTTTACTCTCAAAAATTTCTAAAATTCTATATTAAAACATTTTTGCTCATCTTAAATATTACCTTAAAACAATGTAAGGTGTGTGTGTGTGTGTGTGTGTGTGTGTGTGTGTTTGTATGTATGTGTGAACCACAATCCTCAGATCTCAGCCTTCTTAGTCACTAGGATTATAGTAATGAACCACCAGTGCCTAACCATAAGAGATGTTTATAAATATAGCTAATGTAAAAATATTTTACATTAAAAATGTATTTTGTTGTTTGGCATATTAAAACATATATTAGTGGGCACCAGTGGCTCATGCCTGTATTCTAGTTAATCTAGAGGCTGAGATCTGAGGATCCTGGTTTGAAGCCAGCCTGGGAAGGAAAGCCCATGTAACAATTATCTCCAATAGCCACCAAAAAGCTAGACGTAGAGGTGTGTTTCCAGTGGTAGAGTGCTAGCCTTAAGCAAAAAAAAAAAAAAAAAAAAAGAACATAGGGACAGTACTCAGACCCTTGAGTTCAAGTCCCAGTTACCTGCCCCCCACAAAAGATATATAAACAGGAAGAATTTTCAATAGAGGTAGATAATTAACATTCATAAATGAGAACCCTTTGTATTGCTTCCCTCCCAGATCAGTGTCTACGTCCGGAGAAACTGAAATTCAATACCATATTGAAGAGTTGCAAGTTAAACAATACCCTGCCACAGACAGACTCACACACACACACACACACACACACACACACACACACACACACACATACACACACGGGTCCTCTTTGGGCACTCCTCTAGCAATTTCTAGGGTGTATTTTTAATGAACCACCCACAGTGGAACTCTCAGGTTTTTTTAAGGGTAAGGACAAAAGGAAGATAAAAATATAGAGTTCAAGAGTTCACCATTTTTTAGAGGAAAGAAAAGAGATAGTAGATAAAAGTTCTCTGATTAGGGCTGGGAAGGTGGCTCAGTGGTAGAGCGCTTGCCTTGTATGTCTGAGGCCCCGGGTTCGATTCCTCAGCACCACATAAGAAAAAAGCCGGGGGCTGGGAAGATGGCTCAGTGGTAGAGCGCTTGCCTTGCATGCCTGAGGCCCTGGGTTCGATTCCTCAGCACTACATAAGCAAAAAGAAAAAAGCCGGAAGTGGCGCTGTGGCTCAAGTGGTAGAGCGCGCTAGCCTTGAGCTGAAGAGCTGAGGGACAGCGCCCAGGCCCAGAGTTCAGGCCCCACGACCGGACCCAAAATAAATAAATAAATAAATAAATAAATAAAAAGCTTATAAAAAAAAAAAAAGAAAGAAAAAAGCCGGAAGTGGCGCTGTGGCTCAAGTGGTAGAGCGCTAGCTTTGAGCTGAAGAGCTGAGGGACAGCGCCCAGACCCAGAGTTCAGGCCCCACGACCAGACCCCCCCCCCAAAAAAAAAGAAATAAAAAAAGTCCTCTGATTAGTATATCAAATAAAAAAGGACAGTAGAGAGAACCCCCCCCCCCACTCTCTTAATGGCGGAAGTAACCTATAAAAGTCAAAACTACAAGCAAGGAGAGACCAGGAGAAAGTGTAAATGAGGTTAGTACAGAAAGAGTTCATAATCAAGTCATCAAACTTGCAGGAACTACTGTGAGCGACCTGAAGAAAGACAAGTACTGGCACTCAGCTGGACTTCCAGTTACAGAGAACTTGTCAGATACTTTCTCCATTTCATAAATATTTATTTATTCAGAGACAACTTGTGATCTGCACCTTACTAGATGCTGAGGATATACACTTAAATAGGAGTAATATAATTCCACCTTTAAAAAAGCTTATGAGTTAGTGACAAATAGACCAGTAAACAAGATAGCATTATGTGACAGAGATCAAATACTTGCCTACAATTAAAAATGAACTATATGAGTGATCTAAACTGCTGTAAACATGATCCAGACAACAATCCAGAAAAAGCCATAAAGAGAAAACATCACAGAAAAGCCAGAGGACATAAATGCCAGGTTTTTACCTAACAATCCTGCAAAAACTGTTTTGTATCTGCCATAAACACACTCTACTCATACAATTCAAATGACATTCACAACACAAAAAAACAAAACAAAACTTAAAATAATTTTGCAAACATTCCAAAGAAAGGTTACCTATTTTCTATACTATCATTAGCAGTTACTTCCTTTTTTGTTGAAACATTCTACCAAAGCCTTCTTACTTACCAAGATTTCTTTCTCAGAAGAGAAACTAACAACAAAAAATAAGGCAGGGTGTGGTGAAGCAAGGTACCGGAGTTACAAGTGAAACTTCATAATAAAAATAAAACAGAACACATTGCTCACAGACCCAAAGCACTCCAGGGTTGGGAAGGCCAGCCTGCAGGTCATATTCGACCTTATACATGTCAGGATAGATACGTGTGCTTCTAGTTGGCTTCCCAGTTGTCTGACAGCCTTGATAATTTCCTATTGCCTGGTCTTCTCCCACCTCTCACCGCCATGTTATATCCAAATTTACAAATGGTTTGGTGCCATCTGTTGGTCCTTACAGGAATTATTCCTACATACAAATTGGATCAGCAGGTTTCTCTGGCTTACAAACTAAGTCAGTAAATTATAGAAATGTTTAATCTCATACAAGCCAGTTATGAAAATTTCAGTGTGAAGATAACTATTTTTTCCTAAGGTAAATGTTATCTTTGAGAGTTCAAAGCCTGAATTTTAAATTGCTACCTCATGGACAGTTACTGACCTTCACCTGTTTGCTAGTCTAAACATCTTTGACATTTCCAGACTTGATTGCAACTAAAAGTCAAGCAAGTTTGAAGTATATTCTGACTGAATGAGCTGCTTTTTAAAAAAGCAAGCTTAGATCCATTTTTTTTAAACCAACCTCCAAGGGAAGTTTAACCCCTGATCCACACTTAGCCACACCTGACTCCTCATATCCTCATTGGCATTTAATATTATCAGGTTTTTATTTTATTATTTTTATTATTATTTGTTGGTCATGGGGCCTGAACTCTGGGCCTGAGCGCTGTCCCTCAGCTCTTCAACTCAAGGCTAGCACTCTACCACTTGAGCTACAGCGCCACTTCTGGTTTTCTGGTGGTTTTATTGGTGATAAGAGTTTCATGGACTTTCCTGCCCAGACTGGCTTTGAACCTTGATCCTCAGATCTCAGCCTCCTGAGTAGCTAGGATTACAGGCGTGAGCCACCGGCACCCGGCTTGTTATTTTATTTTTTGTGCTGGTTTGGGGGGCTTGAATTGAAACAACTGAGATGTATGGAGCAGGCCCTGGAAAGAACATGAGCTGAATAATCATTCTGTAATTAATCTCATTGGCTGGCATGATCCTGTCTTCACAACTTGGCCAATGATGTTGGAACTATGAGTAAGACGTTTCAGGAGGAAGGGGAAGAACCGTATCTTCCTCTTCATCCTTACTCACTAAACGTAACAGGAAGCCTTCTCTGGCTTGGGGAGGTTCAGCCAGAAGAGATGAGTAAAAATGACACAGCTAGAAAACAGATTCAAGAGACATGCTGAAGAGAAATGAGCCAGCTGTGGCTGGGAGGAAACTTCAGACAATTCTCAACTAAAGTCTTATGAAAATTCACCCACTCACAAATAAACACTCATCCATATCTCTACTGATGTGGCCACTTGACATGTGTTTTGTTAGGGTGTGGCATAATAATGCTGGCATCTGGAAACAAGGACATTCCTCTTGTTGAGACTGTCACAATGCTGAAAGAAGTCTTTATGGGGAAGACAAACCCCACAAAAATCAGCTAATAGGGAAGTCATATTTTAAACTGAAGGAGAACAAAGAGACAGGCAGTACTGAGCTAAATTATCCACCTGGCCTAACTGTGGCATTGGACAAGTTAGTTAACCACACGGAGCTCTATCCACCCATTGACAGACGAGGCTTCATTTTACATCAGGAAAATACATCAGAAGAATACTTTCAGATCCTTCTAAAAAAACTCCGCCTCCTTGTACTTCTCTTTGTCCTTTTGGATGCATGAACTCTATGTTGAGAGTCTCTCATCACTCAGTCTTAATTCGCTTTGGGCTATCTGTCCTACCTCTGCATTGTTTTCCTCCTCTAATACAGTATTTTCAATCTGCATATCATCCTGCAATTTCTCCCATCTTCAACAAAAATAATCTTTCTCCCCTCCTCCCCACCCCTGCACCAGCCCATAGCCTCCTGCTCTTAGGTTCTTTTCACCAAAGCTCTTTGGGAAGATTGTTTCACGCGCTGCTTCTGATCGTTTTCCATCTTTTTCTCTTAAACCCACTTCAATCAGGTTTCCTTCCTTCCTTCCCCACTGCTCAAGAGAAACGGCTCTTCAAGGCAGATAACACTCCACAATGCCAATTTTCATCTCATTCCCATTTTTGGCAGCATTTTTACACAGATTTCATAATAATTTCTTACTTGATTTCCCCTTACATCCTTGCCTCTTGCCCTGAGTTTCCTGCAAACTCCTTGGCATTTGTTCCCAGTCTCCTTCTGGGTCTTCTTCATCTCCCACATCAAATATTCAAGACTCAGTCTTCACTTCTTCTCTTCTTTAACTCCACGCATTTACAACCTGGCCCATGACATCCAAACCCTCTGCTTACTCATGGGACCCCAGTTACCATCTCCAGCCAGACTTCCTTCAACTCCAGATTTCTGCATCCAGCTGCTAGCTAAACACCTGCTAATTCTCTGTTCTTGAAAACTAGCCACTTAGATCCTCAACTCAGACTCCATCCTTCCTCATCTCAACCCGTGCAGTTCAGGGCCCAAACCCTTGAAGTATCAAGAATTTCTTTCTCTTTTGTTCAAAGCTGACATCTAATCCATGAACAAATTGGGTTGGGTTTTCTTTGAAATAGATCCTTAAAAAACACACCTCTCATCCTCTCTGCCATATCCATATTGCTCAAAGACAACAGGATCTCACATGCACAACTGGTCTCCCTGCTCCACACTTCCTCCACCCACGGAACCCCAACTCAAAAAGATTCAAACACCAAATCACAGTACGCTACAACTCAAAAGCTGCGAGGATTCCCTTCTCTCTTATGAAAAGACCCCATCTCAAATTCTGTGACCCTCCTTGACTGCATCTTCTTCTCTCCCCATCCTCCCTCTCTGCCAGCCTCACCGGCTACCAGCCCTTTCTGTAAGTGTTCTAGCTCTACTCCCGCCTTCCTCTCCCTCAGATGGTCCCCGGATGACATTGTTGTTCAACTTTAACTTAAAGCCTGGATGTTGTACCTCAGCTTTTTTGCTCAAGGCTAGTACTCTATCAATTGAGCCACAGCGCCACTTCCAGAGTTTTGTGATGATTAATTAGAGATAAGAGTGTCAAGGAGTTTCCTGTCTGGCTTTGAACTGTGAGCCTCAGATCTCAGCATCCTGAGTAGGCAGGATTCTAGGTGTGAACTTTTGGTGCTGGGCTACTGCTCCTCTCTTGCATCTTCAAGTCTACATTGAAATGCAACTCTGTCATCAAAGCCTTCCACAACAAGAGTTTCACTTACTCTCCCAGTCTAGGCTCTAGCAATACCAAATCCTTCTTCGTTTTCAGCCTGATTTGGTATCAAGCTAGAATCGGCTTCGTTCCTCAATACTGTATTTCCAGCTCTTAAAGCATTACTTGGTACATAGTACATGCTTTTCAATGTGTGTTTCATGAACAACTGAATCACACTGAAGAATAACAGGACAAGGTCTAATAAAGGCAACCCAGTCCTCCCTGGCTAGCCTGGGATATGAGAAAATACAAAGATGCCATTGTAGCATTAACTGTAAACGTGTGAATACTTAACACATTAGACACACGTCAAGTAGGAAATGGATCAGTTGTGACCTACATGGAATTTTGAAGACATTGACATGAACACATAGAGCTACATATATGAACAAACATGATACTATGTACACATGAGCAATTCTCAAAAGCAAAACGTTTGAAAAGCAATTGAATGCTATCAATGAAATTTTAAACCACTGTGAAACAACTCTATACATTTACAGGTGAGGGTATATGAAGTGAACATTCAGAAATATAAGAGGAAAGAATATAGATACCCCTCAGGATAAAGATAAAAGGAACAGACATTTGTAACCTGTGGGGGGGGGGGCATGTGTGGGCACCCACATGCCATCCTGGAGCTTGAATTCAGGGCCTGGGTGTTGTCACTAAGCTTTTTACTTTTTGCTCAAGGCTAGTTCCAATACCAGTTGAGCTCCACTTCTGGCTTTTTTTTTTCCCTCCTAGTGATTAAATGAAGGGTCTCACAGACTTTTCTGCCCAGTATGGCTTCAAATTGCTATCATCAGATCTCAGCCTCCTGAGTAGCTAGGATTACAGGTATGAGTTAAAAAGTCCTATGCTGGGTACCAGTGGTACAGGCCTGTAATCCTCACTACTCGGGAAGTTGAGATCTGAAGATTGTGGTTCGAAGCCAGCCTGGGCAGGAAAGTCTATGAGACTCTTATCTCCAATTAATCACCAAAATAGGCTGGAAGTAGAGCTGTGACTCAAGTGGCAAAGTACTAGCTTTGAGAAAAAAGCTCAAGGACAGCACCCAGTCCCTGATTTCAAGCCCAGGGCCAGCACAAAGAAAAAAAGAACTAGATTCTAAATAAATATGGCAGAGCTAAAAATCTGCTAAATCTGAGAATTATCATTATATTCTATATCATTTTTACACATCACTTTTTCATGTTATCTTCTACTTTTCTGTCTACTTTACACAATTAAAACATATTTTTCTTTCTACTGTGGCTTGAACACAGGGCTCCATGCTCTCAGCTTGCTTGCTCACAGCCTACACTGGAACTGTGCCTCTAGTACAGTATTTTTGCTAGTTAATTGGCATCTCTCAGACTTCTCTATCTAAGATGGCTTTGAACTACAAGTGTCTGATCTCAACTTTCTGAGGAGCTAGGATTAGGCATGAACCACCAGATCTCCTCTTGATTTATATATATTTTTTAATTGTAAAAAAAAGTAACACAGCTGGGGGAGGGGAGGGAAATGAGTGTAAGTAGTTACATTTTAAGTAAAAGAGTATAAATTGGGGCTGGGAAGGTGGCTCAGTGGTAGAGTGTTGCCTTGCATGCATGAGGCCCTGGGTTCGATTCCTCAGCACCACATAAGCAAAAAAAGCTGGAAGTGGTGCTTTGGCTTAAGTGGTAGAGCGCTAGCCTTGAGCTGAAGAGCTCAGGGACAGCACCCAGGCCCAGAGTTCAGGCTCCATGACCGACAAAAAAAAAAGTATAAATTGGCAGGGTATGG